GTGTATGTGTTTGGGTGTGTGTATGGACGTATGTATGTATATATATGCGTCTGTGTGTGTGTGTCCGATGTATCTTTTTTTTTTGCTTGGGCGTTCCTGGTTGGTAGGATATTTCATCGTGGTTTAATACTGGTAACATTCGATATAAGGCTCAGAACACAAATCCAAAGAGGCCTAAGGCCTTGTTAAGTGGTTTTGATGAGAGAATCACTGAGCTGGTAATCCCTTCAGGAGACGAAACATGCTTCATACATCAATAGTTTCCTGGTCAGTTTTTGTCAGGATCGCCAAAAACTGACCACAGGTCGATGCAGAATTGGTCAAAGCAAATAGTAGTAAAGATGCTAGCTGCATAGCTGAAGAATCCCACTACTAATTATACAGCTGATCCAAGTAAATGGATGGACCAAATACTAGTGGTAAATACACAACGATTATACATAGCAACGTATTGGAAGCAACGTAATACATAGGTTAAATAACGGATACAACATTTTCTGAAAGAATTGAGACAATATCCACAAAGAAAAAAGAAAACTGTATAAATTATATAAAAAAAAGGACTCCATGAAATGAGCTAGAACAATATCCACAATCATCAAAATACGGGGCATCACAGCCCAGAGATAATCACATAACTTATGGTGCTTATAAGTTTCCTATGCTACATTGGACTGGCTAGAAAAACTATGAAAGTATATTTCGATTATTCTGTCGTCCACACAAATGCCGGACTTTACCGCACTAGCATAAGTAGGAGATATACAGTGGCGTAGCCGAGAATCTCTTCGAACTCAGGTACACCGGTCAGAGGAGCCCCCCATCGCCTCTTCCCTCAAAACACCCAGAAAAGGACCCCAGTGTGCTCCCCTCCCCTCCCCTACCTGCCTTTCTTCAAAATACAAAAAAAAAAGAACTTGAGGAAGGTAAACGATGCGATCCATAAGGAGTTTCCCCTCATTTTTTCTTCAAAAAATTCCCCTTATTTTTTCCCGCTCAAAATTTGTGCTTTTTGGAGCCGAAAAGATGGATCTGTGTTGGTTCATCTGAAAAAAAAATTATGCAAAATTTCATAGTTTTCAAGTAACAGTCGAAAGAATATCAGGACCGTCCGGATAATCGATATACTTTCATGTTAGATATGCTACTGGGATTTTCCCAGATGTTTGAGGGGATAATACTACGCCAGTCGGTCGTGAATTGCATACCTCCAGTTATTACTTGTCACCCATTCGATGTTTGTGTATCATTTCATTCAAAACAGACGTAGACTGACCCAGGGACGGCCTCCTGGAGGCGGAGGGTGAAAGAGGGGAGAGGAAGGAGGGGGGGAGAGCGACCAGAGGTGCGAAAGAGAGGTTTCTTCAGTTTTAGCACTGCTACTTGTGCCTCTCTCCTGTTTTCAGTGGAGGATCCAACGAGGGATGGGCCCTCTACAAAAACGAAAGAGTTCGGGAAGAAAAATACTCGATAATTCTTTAATCGGATGTCGAAATTCTTTGAAAATTCACAATACACAGTTCCCATTCTAAGCTTTTTTCTGCACGAGAATCCCGAGCACTTCACTGCAACAGTACATTACATGAAAAGATGGCTATCCTAACAACAAGCTAATTTAAAATAAGTTTACAAAGAGACAGTCTGCTTTGCGGTACCCCATTTTTCGGCGATCCAACGTATCGTCCTCACCGGTAGCTGAGGACCAATCAGAGGATTCAGCTGATGCAAATAGACCAAAATCCAGAACAGCCAACAGCAGCATGCCGTCAGTATGATCATTGTTTGAATGATACCTGCAACTCTGTTTTTTTAAATTCTCAAAAAAAAAAATCACGCAAAAAGAAACTCACGAAAAAAAACCACATAAAAATAAAATCACGAAAAACCACGTAAAAATAACCCCCCTCCTCGCCAAAAAAAAAAAAAATCACGTAAAAATAAACCCACAAAAAACCACATAAAAATTAACTCACAAAAACCACGTTAACACAAACTCAAAAAAAATCAAGTAAAAAGAAACTCGCAAAAAAAAATCACGTAAAATAAACTCTTACAACTACAACTACAACTGCTATAGCTACTGCAACTACAACTACAACAACAACAACTAGTATTACTACAACAGCAGCAGCAGCATGAACAACAACAACAGCAGCAGCATCAGTTGCAGCACCAACTTCTAATGTTAGTGTGAAAAAGAGCAAAACTAGGAACAGATAACAATTCTTGAGAAAGCGCATGTGCACCAACCTCGATTCGGACCTTTTGGGACGATGAACGGGCCACCAGCACCAACAAGAAGCCAGAATCCGGTAACTGTGATCAACGGGATAATCACACTCATC